CTCAGTATGAGTTGCAGAAGTGGACCCTTAATAACTGCCTGAAAATAAATGAGGACTAAGAACCTAATCCTGCAAATCATTACTCATGCAAATAGCCACATGGAACTCAGTGGGATTAACCTCTCCCTTTACATGGTAAACTTTTTAGGGCACACCTCATCTCATTTATCTTAGAGTGCCAAATTATGGGTGGCGTGTCAGACAATTATTTACTGACAGTACACATTGAGATTCAAAAAAAAAAAAAAGCTTTATAAACTGTTAAAACCCAAATTGTCAATATCACATGCTAAAATATACAAAGTATATGACCTTAAATCAAATTCTAATTAGTTTTCAAGCAGTATTTTTCTTACTTTGTTGATCTGTAAATTTTGATTAGTATCAATGGAATGTGTTTTCATCCTTGTGTGTGTGTACACAGTGAAATCGACGTTTACTGATAAAAATGGAATCCTTCCAAGATTAGCTACATGGAGGGGTCTCAGGCTAGAGCATGCACAGGGCTGTGCCACTCTGGCTTAGTCCAGTATTCACTTGGCAAGCAGCCATTAAAGGAGCAATACTGTGCACAGATAGGCAGAGACAGAATAGGCTTAAGGTAACAAAACAATCAATGAATGGTTGTGTAACTGTAGCTAGTTAAGGATGGATGTTTACCAGCATGCCTGGAAGAGTGGAACCCTTAGAGACGGCCCTGCCCATAGCTCAAAATGTTCATCTATGACTTGGCATGACTTGAAACTCTCATAAAGGTTGCCGGCTACATCTGGTACATCTTTTTGTTGTACAGCATTTCCCAGACCTGAAGAAGAGCTCTGGGTGAGCTTGACAGCTCATCTCTCCCAGTAACAGAATTTGGTCTAGTACAAGATATTCTCTCACCCAACTTGAGTCTACTGTATAGTTACTCATACAAGCTTGCCTCAGTATATGATTGCCTGAGCCAAAGGCTGCTGCTAATGCTTTCTTTGCTTCTGATTTTGTTTCTTGTCAAAACATTCTCCTAATATCAGGCAGGCTTTGTCAAAAAAAAAAAAAAAAGATGATTAGCAGCTAGAATTCAAATCCAGGAGTGAGGGTACAGCATGCACCTTAGATCCCTACACATAAAATTGGGATAATTGGTAACTGATTATTAGTTTTTCACCCCTTTCTAAAGAGCCTGAAGTACTGTCTCCCCAGCCTCCTCAACAATTGGCAGCAATTCCTCTATCATGATGCTTTGCAGTGGGCATTAGGGTCAAATGCAAATGTAATATACCCATGGTTAAGCCTTCTCTTGTCAGATGGACTTTGTAAATAAAATTGCGTCCATTAAGTAAAATAGTAGTAAGAAATCGTGTATGTGTGCACGTGCTACCACATCAGCAGCATCATGCCTTTGCCAATCTGTTATATAAAAGATTTGTTTGCCTGTAGCGATATAAGAAGTGGCATAAAATATAATCAGGTACAAAACCATGTACGCGTGTGAGCTTTCAGAGTAAAGCCAACAAAAACCTGTGACTACTGAAGCAAATTCCTTTTCTGTTCTGCTCTGCCAAAAGCAACTCAACCCCGCATGATATGGTGGATTCAAGTCTCAACCAGTGTGGTTGACTTTGAAGAGCAAACTTTTGGAAACATCCTGCTCAGAAACAATTCAGCCTATAGCACCAATGTCTTCTTACTGAGGATATTTGTATGAAAGACTGTGTTGTTTTTTATTCCAGTACATATGTAATCTTTTTCAATGTAAATGGAAACTGATATTAATTGATTGCTGAGACTGAAAGGTACATGCAACTGGGCTCTATTGTTGCAGAAACTGAATGGGGGAATATTAAGATCTCCACACACCCCAGGGGAGTACATAAGAATGGCCATACTGGGTCTAATCATTCACCAAGGGCAAGTCATGCCTGACTAATCTAATTGCCTTCTATGATGAGATAACTGGCTCTGTGGATGAGGGGAAAGAGGTGGACAAGTTTCTTGACTTTAGCAAAGCTTTTGACACGGTCTCCCACAGCATTCCTGCCAGCAAGTTAAAGAAGTATGGGCTGGATGAATGGACTATACGGTAGATAGAAAGATGGCTAGATTGTCGGGCTCAACGGGTAGTGATCAATGGCTCCATGTCTAGTTGGCAGCCAGTATCAAGTGGAGTGCTCCAAGGGTTGGTCTTGGGGCCGGTTTTGTTCAATATCTTCATAAATGATCTGGAAGATGGTGTGTACTGCACCCTCAGCAAGTTTGCAGATGTCACTAAACTGGGAGGAGAGGTAGATACGCTGGAGGGTAGGGATAGGATACAGAGGGCCCTAGACAAATTAGAGGATTGGGCCAAAAGAAATCTGATGAGGTTCAACAAGGACAAGTGCAGAGTCCTGCACTTAGGATGGAAGAACCCCATGCACCGCTACAGACTAGGGACTGAATGGCTAGGCAGCAGTTCTGCAGAAAAGGACCTAGAGGTTACAGTGGACGAGAAGCTGGATATGAGTCAACAGTGTGCCCTTGTTGCCAAGAAGGCCAATGGCCTTTTGGGATGTATACGTAGGGGCATTGCCAGCAGATCGAGGGACGTGATCATTCCCCTCTATTCAACATTGGTGAGGCCTCATCTGGAGTACTCTGTCTAGTTTTGGGCCCCACACTACAAGAAGGATGTGGAAAAATTGGAAAACGTCCAGCGGAGGGCAACAAAAATAATTAGGAGACTGGAACACATGACTTATGAGGAGAGGTTGAGGGAACTGGGATTGTTTAGTCTGCGGAAGAGAAGAATGAGGGGGGATTTGATAGCTGCTTTCAACTACCTGAAAGGGGGTTCCAAAGAGGATGGATCTAGACTGTTCTCAGTGGTAGCTGATGACAGAACAAGGAGTAATGGTCTCAAGTTGCAATGGGGGAGGTTTAGGTTGGATATTAGGAAAAATATCACTAAATATCACTTTTTCACTAAGAGGGTGGTGAAACACTGGAATGCGTTACCTAGGGAGGTGGTGGAATCTCCTTCCTTAGATATTTTTAAGGTCAGGCTTGACAAAGCCCTGGCTGGGATGATTTAGTTGGGGATTGGTCCTGCTTTAAGCAGGGGGTTAGACTAGATGACCTCCTGAGGTCCCTTCAAACTGTGATATTCTATGATTCTATGATTAATCCAGTATCCTGTCTTCTGACCAAGGCCAATGCCAGGTGCCCCAGAGGGAATGAACAGTAATCATGAAGTGATCCATTCCTTGTCACCCATTCCCAGCTTCTGGCAAACAGAGGCTAGAGACACCATCCCAGCCCATCCTAGCTAATAGCTATTGATGGACCTATCCTCCATGAATTTATCTAGTTCTTTTTTGAACCCTGTTCTAGTATTGGCCTTCACAACATCCTCTGGCAAGGAGTTCCACAGGTTGATTGTGTGTTGTGTGAAAAAATACTTCCTTTTGTTTGTTTTAAACCTGCTGCCTACTAATTTAATTTGGTGACCCCTAGTTCTTCTGTTATGAGAAGGAGTAAATAACACTTCCTTATTTACTTTTCTCCCCACCAGTCATGATTTTATAGACCTCTATCATATCCCCCCTTAGTCGTCTTTTTTCCAAGCTGAAAAGTCCCAGTTTTATTAATCTCTCCTTATATGGCAGCCATTCCCTACCTCTAATCATTTTGTTGCCCTTTTCTGAACCTTTTCCAATATATCTTTTTTGAGATTGGTCGACCACATCTGCATTCAGTATTCAAGATGTGGGTGTATGATGGATTTAATACCGTGGTAGTTAAATAATGCTTTCCCCAGGGCTGACCTAAAGATTTTTGGGGAGGATCAGTTAGGTGATTGTGATCATTATGGAGGGGAACTGGTTATGTTTTGGAAAAAGGCAGAAATAAATGGTTTGCAACCCACCAAAAAATGCTCAGGGCAACTCTGCTTGTTAAAATGTTTACCTCTCTCCAAATATACCCATATTGCAGAGCTGAAATCAGCCACAAGACCGTTCTTCCCACCCCAAACCCACAGGAAATGTGTGATTTATACATTTAATTGCTTCCAATTTATTTTTCAACGGTTACCAATAATCACTTGTCATGATTTAACATTAATTTCTAAAAGTTCTATTCTCTCACAATTTCACTACATTGTCACAAAGTACAGATAAAATCTGTAAGATCCAAATGAAGATGAAGTTAAGCAATTTTTAATGCACTTAATTTAGATTTTTGTCAAAATATAATAGTTATAAGTGAGGCATTTAATCTTCATTAAAGTTTGGACAGAAGGTATAATCAATGTGCTGTACAAGTGGTCTAGTTCTTAGAGACAGAGACTGGGAGTCAACTCCTGGGGTCTATTTTTTGCTCCACAATTAACTTACTGCGTGATCTTGGACAAGTCACTTAATCTCTGTGCCTCAGTTTACCCATCAAAAATGCATATAATATTTACTTTTGCTCTATCTCTATGACTCTTGGATGAAAGTACAATGCAAAGCTTTGCACAATTGTCCTGAAAATGTATCAGCCCAGACACAAAATCTTGTTGCCCTTTACTTTGAGGGATAATGAACAAACAATAACTTACCCATTAAAACAAACAAACAAAAAAAAAACTTACCCTCACTGTGAGCAGAAGTACAATTTTGTAAAGCTGCAAAAGTATTATTATTAAAACTGCTATCTAGGCACCTCAGTGAATTATATGTCCTCCACAAATATCTAAACTGCAAGAGAAATCTGTTTTAACATACACAGAAAAACAAAACAAAAAACAATCATTTTTAGTCTATTTTGAAGTTTATTATCCTCAGCAATTTTGAAGTCAAAAGTACTGTACACTATGAAAAAGTACGTAGCACTGAAATCATCACTTTGGCTAACACAGCTCAAAGAGAAAAATGAGAAGACTTTGCTTTATATACATCTTTACAGAGTTTGTAACATCCATTGGTAACATTTGTATAGCAATCTATATACAAAAAAGGTCTACAGCATCTTCAGCTACACCAAGTACAGAGCATTGCATGAAATACAAGTCAGAAATTGCAGAGTTGTTCTCTTTTGCTCGTATATACACTATATAAAATCAGAAGCAAATCTAGAAAGGTATGCAAGAAATAGATAGGACCAAACTTTCAGTAACTAAGAATTTTACCAATACTCTAGAATTCTATTATCTTATCAGCATTTTTTATCCTGTATCATTGTGATAAAGAAGTTGCACCAAGATCTCCATGTTTCTGAACAGTACTCTTCAGCCACCTTTTGCTGATCAATGTAATCTATATCTTCAACGCAGTCATTGGAACTTTTCTCTGGCTGATTTTCAGGTGCAATGGCAGGTGCTGAAGTTTGTGTGATCTCTTTTCTATGGTGATCAATCTTGTCTTTTATGGAGTTTTGTAGCGTTATCAGGCTTGAGCTGGTCAAAGTGAGATGGGCACTTTGTGGTCCCTTCTTACATACTTTAGATTTTAGGATACCTTTTGGGTCTTGACAGATATTCTTCTGTTTCTTTAGGGATCGGGAGATTTGTTTCCAATATTGTTTTTGGTTTGCTGCAAATTGAGGACAGGTGGAAGGACTTCCTGAAAAATCACACCGGAAGCTGCTTTCACCTTTCTTGCATTCTACTTTTAGGGTAACAGTGTCTACTTCAGTCACTGCCCAGGTGCATGCCGAATTATCTTTGGTTGTAAACTTGCCTTTAAATGAAGATTTACCTCCTTTGGATTTCTGTCTCTTCTCATTCTCTTGATTATTTCCAGTTTGTTTTTTTCTACCTTTTCCACCGTTTTGTCTTTCTTTTCTTCTTTCCTTCTGTGTTTCACCGTCAACTACTAGTGTCAGAGAGACCAGAATCAACACACAAAGAAGTGCAAAATTTCTGATTTTCATGATCTCAGCTTTTCTTGTAACCTGTTTTGAAAATAACAATTAATAAAAAAATCCACATACAATGTTGGAGTTCATCCAGTTGCTGCATTTTTAAAGTTTTTAGGAATGACAGTATATTGCTCACTGACAATGGTATTAAAATGACACATTACTAGTAAAATCTACAAAATTGTATGGAAATAATCTCAAAGTTATTTCATATTGTATTTGAGAAATAAAGCTATTTATGGGATGTACCCATTCACACCATTTACTTAATTTTTTCCTAACGGGCCTCACATAAATAGCCTTAAACTCTTTCTTGGGAAATTAGAGTCTGATCCTGCAACTCTTACTCAAAAGAGTAGTCCCATTTACTTTAATGCGACTACTAGAGTAAGGGCAAGTCACATGAGTCAGGGTGGCAGGACTGGGTTACTAGATAGTGGCTGTACCTTGAATCATTGGATCTTCACTGTGGAATAAGAAATAGATCTCGTTTCACCTTTGAAGATGTTTGCAATATATTGAGTCAATCTAAAACTACCCAAATCTAGAAAATATAAATTAATTTATTATGCATAACTTCAATTTTATTATGTAGATGTCCAGCAAATTCAAGGGGGGCCAAACACAAATTTTAAAATTAAAGTCCATATCCTGCAAGCTGCTTTGTATAGCTGGATCCTGGCATCTGCACAGGGTCCCACTCATTTCAGTGAGGTCCAGCTATATTAAGCAGCTTGCAGGGACAGGACCTAATGATATGATGGAATTTACAGTACATGTAGGTAATTTATAATCTGGTCTTCAATGGATGCGATTCCTGGATGCACAGTTCATATACTTGCACCAGACCCCCGACCAATAGTTAAGTTTCCATGTGAGCAAGCTAGGTATTCTTGGGAGGGCATTCCATCAAGGAAGGTATTTCAGCATTTACTTAGCTGTAAATATTTAAATTTAATTCTGCTGATTTACACATCTGAATGTGAAGACCCCAGAATATGAGAGAAGAGACCACTTTTGTACATCTCCTTCTCCTTGTCCCATGCTTCGATACTAGTGATTGGCACTGTATGAAAACCTATGATAGCTAGATCTCCATAGCAAACATTGCACATTATTTATAGCTCTAATACTTCTTAACAGGCAAATCAAATGATTAAACCCCCAAAACCTTGTCTATAAATTATGTGACATTAATATTCTACTGCAAATTTAACACTGAAAATGTAAGATAAGTAGAACACATACCTTGCACAGTGCTTGGATTTACGCAATTGCAATTCAAGTGAAATACTGGATCTTTCAAAAGTTTCATGCTTAGTTGTAAAGCACTGTGCTATTTATAAAGCCAGAGACACTCCTTCATCCCTCCAACAAGGTTATTACAACATAATTGAATGCTTCAGTGACTTATTCATTTACTCTTGACACACCTTCTTGAAAAGATTCCAGTGATTGCTTATAGCAGTAAAAAAGAAATCAGCTACAGTGGGGTGACAGAGGTGTGGCTGAGTAAATTAGATGTTACATCAGCCAAGTCCTTCCCTTTTCTCATATGGTAACCAAAGTTTTTTTAAATCATGGATTCTTAAATAAGCTTTCCCTATTCCCTAAGGGCTGGATCTTGCAAGGGGCTGAGCACCCTTCACTCTCACTAAGTTCAATGGGAGTTGAGTGCTCAGCACCTTATAGGATCAAACCCATCATGGGCAGTTTGCTACACTGTTTGTAGTAGCTTTTATAATCTATCAACCAAAGGCTTAAAATATACATTTAATAAAATAAAATGTTTCAGTGTAATGGGTAGATATTATCCTTTATATCTGGCCATTAAGTTCAGAACCAGATCCAAGCTGCCCTAAAATTCAAGGGAATATGAATCTGGTAATTTAGATCAGCCCATTAGAGAGACAGCAAGGAGTCACAAAGTCCAAATCTAAACTTTCCCCTAAACCTTGGGTAGTTTGGTGATGGAGTTTCAGTATGGGCCACATCTCTAATTTATATTAATCTGCAAAAGAATATGAAAATAAAGTTGTGAGCATCTGACAAATGCACAAGAGCAAATAAATTCAGAGCTATGAATGGGACTCCATCAACTGTATAATAAAGAACAGACAAAGTGGATAGTGGTCACTATAGCTGGAATGCTTCATGGAAGCTTTTTTTGAATGGGCAGAAGAAGAGCATTTGACGTATAGTGATAGGCAGGTATTTACAAGAGTAAAAAGTAGCATGGATGAAGGGATGAACTGGGAATTGGTGTAAGAGACAGGAGGCATGTCTTCTGCTTTCCCTCCTCAGCTTCAGGTGCAGATGGAATGGGAGAATAGGAGGAGATAAAGATCGAGATATAGGTGGGGCCAGTGTCTGAACTGGTTTGAAGATAAGGAGATGTTTGAACTTTGTGTGAAAAAGCAAGGAAGCCAAGGCAGAGATACAGAAAAGGGAGAGACATAGGATTTCAATTTGCTTAATTTTTTGCAGCACATCAAAAAGAAACTGCGGGAGGGGACATGTTACAGCATCCCAGCTGTTAGCCCGCAACTGCCTGCCAATACACCCACTGATGTTCAGTTACCTTTGGTAATCTTTCTGGCTCCATTCAGCCTTCAGAGCTGCAAAGTGCACCTCTGAGTTTGATGAAGCAATTGGGAAGCTAACCACACCACTTAACTGAAAATGAAGTAATCAGAAAGGTTTGTGGTTAATGCTGAATTCCCACCAAGAGCAGATGAAATGAGGTGAAGTTAGGCAGTGCAGTGACCACAGAACCAGTTGAGATTGTGAAAGTGACACAGGCTAGGAATCAGAAAAACATAGGAAATGACAGATTAGAAGCAAGGAAAAGGCTTGATTTAGGAATCTCACTTGACCTAGTTCTTACTAAAATAAGTTATATACTGGAACTAAATAAAAACATGGCAGACCTAGCACCTGTAAAATCAGTCATTCTCCATAGTCCTTACACAAAGTCCATTGCTAGAGTTGACCTTTGGGGCCTGTAACCCCCATGGCCACTTCCACACCTACCCTTAATTCAATGATATACACATATCATCATGGTCTAGTCTAGTGGACTAAGCACAGGACTAAGAACAAGGCTATTCTGCATTCTAATCCTGGCTCTGACACTAATTTCCTTGGTGGCCTTCATCAAGTAACTTAACCCCTCTGCCATACTTCCTTCATCCATAAAATGAAGATAACACCACTTACCTCACAGAAGTGCTGTGATGATTAGTTAGTGGCTGTTTGTAAAGAGAGATTTAAATGCTAAAATTCAACACTTTGTACACAAAGCCCCCAAACCGTTTGCTGATTTTGACAATTTTCCCTTGCAAAATCATTGGCCACTGTGCATGGACCAGAGCACAAGTAGCTGGTCTGCAGCAGGAAAGTCATTAAAGTTAGGAGCTTCTTGGAGCAGGGATTGTACCATCTTCTTATGTGTGGACACAGAGTCGACCACAACAGCTACCTGATCCTGAGTGAGGCCCCTGGACACAACTGTCATATAAGTAACAATAATAACTATCATTTAAGTGAACCCTAAAGAATCATCTCACGAACCCTCTTTGAGATCCTCAATCTGCACTGGTATATAGAGGGGTGTCATAAAAATAAAGGGAAGGGTAAACCCCTTTGAAATCCCTCCTGGCCAGGGGAAAGCTCCTCTCACCTGTAAAGGGTTAAGAAGCTAAAGGTAACCTCGCTGGCACCTGACCAAAATGACCAATGAGGAGACAAGATACTTTCAAAAGCTGGGAGGAGGGAGAGAAACAAAGGGTCTGTGTGTCTGTCTATAGTCTGTCTTTGTCGGGGATAGACCAGGAATGGATTCTTAGAACTTTTAGTAAGTAATCTAGCTAGGTACGTGTTAGATTATGATTTCTTTAAATGGCTGAGAAAAGAACTGTGCTGAATAGAATAACTATTTCTGTCTGTGTATCTTTTTTGTAACTTAAGGTTTTGCCTAGAGGGGTTCTCTATGTTTTTGAATCTAATTACCCTGTAAGATATCTACCATCCTGATTTTACAGGGGGGATTTTTTTATTTCTATTTACTTCTATTTTTATTAAAAGTCTTCTTGTAAGAAAACTGAATGCTTTTTCATTGTTCTCAGATCCAAGGGTTTGGGTCTGTGGTCACCTATGCAAATTGGTGAGGCTTTTTATCCAACATTTCCCAGGAAAGGGGGGGTGCAAGTGTTGGGAGGATTGTTCATTGTTCTTAAGATTCAAGGGTCTGGGTCTGTAGTCACCTAGGCAAATTGGTGAGGCTTTTTACCAAACCTTGTCCAGGAAGTGGGGTGCAAGGTTTTGGGAAGTATTTTGGGGGGAAAGACGCGTCCAAACAGCTCTTCCCCAGTAACCAGTATTAGTTTGGTGGTGGTAGCGGCCAGTCCAAGGACAACGGGTGGAATATTTTGTACCTTGGGGAAGTTTTGACCTAAGCTGGTAAAGATAAGCTTAGGAGGTTTTTCATGCAGGTCCCCACATCTGTACCCTAGAGTTTAGAGTGGGGGAGGAACCTTGACAAGGGGTTTGGTCACAGTGGGCAGGAGTCCATTTATTCAAAATTGTCTCAGAGGTTTCCTCAGAAATGCTCAGGCAAGCCCTGTTCCTGCTACACACTGTGCCATTTGTGGGTTCTCCCACTTGTTTCTAATTCTTGACTCTACCTGGTGACTACTAAGCTGGTGCTTCTACTCCAGGTAAATTACTGCTTCCTGGAACCCAAAAGAGGAGAGGCAAGAAGCACAGGATCTAGTCCAAAAGGTGAATATACCAAAAGGTAAAAGTAGCCATGACATAATTAAATTTAACATTGCTGTGCATGGGGGAGGGGGAACACCAAAGGAGCCCACTACAGTAGCATTTAACTTCAGAAGCGGAACTACACAACAATGAGGAAGTTAGTTAAACAGAAATTAAAAGGTACAGCCACAAAAGTGAAATGCCTGCTAGCTGCATGGAAACTTTTTAAAAACACCACAATACAGGCTCAAATTAAATGTATATCCCAATTTAAAAAAACATAGTAAGAGGACCAAAAATGTGCCATGACAGCTAAACAACAAAGTAAAAGAAGTGGTTAGAGGCAAAAGGCATCCTTTAAAAAGTGAAAGTTAAACCCTACTGAGGAAAATAGAAAGGAGCATAAACTCTGGCAAGTCAAGTGTAAAGTGTAATTAGGTCAAAAAGAATTTGAAGAGCAACTAGCCAAAGACTCAGAAACTAACAGCAATTTTTTTTAAGTAGATCAGAAGCAGGAAGCCTGCCAATGCACCAGTGGCACCACTGGATGACCAAGGTGCTAAGGGAGCACTCAAGGAAGATAAGGCCATTGAGGAGAAGATAAATGAATTCTTGGCATCAGTCTTCACTACAGAGGATGTGAGGGAGAGTCTGACAGCAAAACCATTCTTTTTAGGTGACAAATCTGAGGAAAAGTTCCAGACTGAGGTGTCAGTAGAAGTGGTCTTGAAACAAATTGAGAAATTAAACATCAGTTAGTCCCCAGGCACAGTTCTGAAGGAACTCACATACATAATTGCAGAACTACTCATTGTAACCTATCACTTCCATACCAGATGACTGGAGGATAGCTAATATGACACCAATTTTTTTAAAAAGGCTCCAGAGGCGATCCTAGCAATTACAGGCCAGTAAGCCTAACTTCAATACCAGGCCAATTGGTTAAAACTATAGTAAAGAACAAAAAGAAAAGGAGTACTTGTGGCACCTTAGAGACTAACCAATTTATTTGAGCATGAGCTTTCGTGAGCTACAGCTCACTTCATCAGATGTATACCGTGGAAACTGCAGCAGACTTTATATACACACAGAGAATATGAAACAATACCTCCTCCCACCCCACTGTCCTGCTGGTAATAGCTTATCTAAAGTGATCAACAGGTGGGCCATTTCCAGCACAAATCCAGGTTTTCTCACCCTCCACCCCCCCACACAAATTCACTCTCCTGCTGGTGCTAGCCCATCCAAAGTGACAACTCTTTACATAATCAAGTCGGGCTATTTCCTGCATAGATCCAGGTTTTCTCACATCCCCCCCACCCCCATACACACACAAACTCACTCTCCTGCTGGTAATAGCTCATCTAAACTGACCACTCTCCAAGTTTAAATCCAAGTTAAACCAGAACATCTGGGGGGGGGGGTAGGAAAAAACAAGAGGAAACAGGCTACCTTGCATAATGACTTAGCCACTCCCAGTCTCTATTTAAGCCTAAATTAATAGTATCCAATTTGCAAATGAATTCCAATTCAGCAGTTTCTCGCTGGAGTCTGGATTTGAAGTTTTTTTGTTTT